CACGTAAGGGGCTCTGGACACAGCAGTGCGTATCTATGTTAACTCGGTGGTTCCTAAAGAAACAGGACCTGGGTCCCCCTTGCAGTCCAGGCCTGATATCGACCCCTTGCCACACAGCCCTACCTTGCTTTGATTCTATCAAAATACTGCTTTGTTTACATTTCACTGCAGTCCCCCTCCTCCAAATCTATAACTTTTTTTTTCTATGTGGTTCAACGCTCCATGGGTCCTCCTGTATGGTCTTCTTGGTGCGTGCACTGAGCCAATAAACCTGACGCTCTCCCCGGCTGACTGGGCTAGAGCAGGGGCTAGAAGAACAAAGGATCGGCCAAGCCCACTGGTAACCACTACTAACCCTGCAGAAACCCCAAATAAGCCTGAGGGTCTTATGGAAATAAATGTGTCCTTTTCCTCCCGGTGACTGTGAACTTGGGGAGGAGACCCATGGTTACTGTGCCACTTTTACAAGACTCTGTCTAACATAGAGCCTGGTAAATGGGAAATCATTTATAATTCTCCATTTGCTATATGTTCACGGAGTCCGTGACACTTTTCTAGGCTATAAGGTGAGGCTATCAAGTAGAAGCCACAATTCCCATCTTGAGGGAACAGTGATAGCCACGAGGCACCATGTGTCACTATCATAGGGGACAACACAATGAAGCAAGTCAATGAGCAAAGTGATTAGAAAGGTGGAATGGTGTCCAGCAATGGAGCGAGGGGAGGCTAGGCAGGAAGGCTTAGCCTCTCCCCACAGTCATTTACTCGGAAGCCTGATCTACCTTTGTACAAATCGTGTCAAGGATTATCTTTTTCCCAACCCACCTGCTCACTGGCCTTCTGAATCTCTAAGACTGAACTGTTTGTTCAGAAACATTCTAAATAGTCCTTTCTCTGAGCTATTTTGTTTTAGCCCACAGAGGCCACAGATCTGCATCACTTGTAGTAAGGTAGAGAGAAACTCCAGATGTGGTGAGCTGGAAGAACCTCAGGGCACTCCACTTATGAATATTCAGACAGTTTCCCTCTTGTTATGAAAATTATGGCAATCTGTTCCCCAGCATGTGTTTCAGATGAATTTCAATATCATAAAGGCTTTACAGGGGCGGGGGAGATGATGTTGGCTGTTCAAATAAATCCCGATCAGCTGAGTTTCACTTTCGCTCAGAAAATACCAATTGACATGAACATTTTTTGAATCACTAACTCTTAATCCTGATGGGAGTCTGTATTTTAGCATGCCAAGGAGAGAGCCGTGGAGGAGGGAGCTTCTCTCCTCTGTAGCACTGGGCAATTTTCGACATAGGTTTGTCTTCCATCTGGAAGGAAGAAGGACGCACTGCTCCTAAGCTCAGGCCACTTCTAGTCATTGGTCAGCACTCTGTGTCCTTCACCTGAACATAAGTGTTACATCAATATTGGAAGCAACAAAATGTTCCAAAGGGAGACAGGCTTTTTAGTGGACTAGTATGCCTCGTGGAAATCAGGGAAGAATAATTACCCCAGAATTTGCTCTTTAAATGAAGGCCAGAGTGAGTATGAGGGGTGAGATTAAACAGCAGAAATTCTTGCTCGGGGACCATGAAAAATGTCGGCCAGCAAACATCCCTCAAGGCTTCGCTGACTGTGATAATTTTCCTTCCTGACCTACTATCCTCTTACATGAACAATTACAGCTATGCCCAATGACACCATCTTACGTTCCTACCAAATTGTTCACATCTTCCTTTTATCTCTCCTACCCGGCTGCTCAAGTCTTTGAATGCAGAAACCTTTCACTTTGAATTGCAAAATGTTTGGGATTAAATCAGAGGCTGAAGGTGCTGGGAGAAACCTCAGTGGTTCGCTCTAGAACAACCGTCTGACTTCACAAACAATAGAGGCAATGAAATAAAATTATGTGTCCAAGGTTACACAGCTAAGAACAGAGTTGGTCCTAGAATCCGCGCTTTCTGACTCTTGGCCAAAGCACACCACCCAGCCTCTGTAAAACCACTCTTCATTAACAACCCATCCCCCCACCATGATGCTTCCAGAGAGTCAGGTGGGTGGACATAGGAGATATTTGGAGGACTGAAGAAGGCATGGGCTAGAGCCACCATCCTCCCACAGGCTTAAAGGAGCAGAGCATTTGAAACTGTCTTACTATTCAGGCCCAGGAAGACCATCTTAGATTCCAGAATAACTCTCAACCTGCATCATCCAATTGGTGGCCACCAGACAGATGTGACTATTGAACACTTGAAATGTAGGTACTCCGAGTGGAAGTGTGTCATACATGTAAAATACACACTGAATAAGAAGACTCATATGAAGAAAGGATGAAACTATCTCATGGAATAACTTTATATGTTGCATGTTGAAGTGATAACATTTGGGATATTGAGTTAAATAAATTATGTTTAAAGTAAGATTATCTGTTTCTTTTTCCTCTTTTAAAATGCGGCTACTGAAAAATGTCAAATCACAGATGTGGCTCACATACCATTTCTATTGGCCAGCATTGCTCCAAAACACAGCTAACCCCCACCGCACCTAATCCTTCCAAAAAGCTTTGGTCTCCTGCCTACAGACATTACAGAGGGTGAGAAGAAAGCATCAAAGACGTGCTGTTATCCTGGGGTCAGTTTTTGAGACCTGAGGTTTAATCACTTAAGCATGCATGCCCTGCAGACTGCCTCGTTTTGTGCCGCATTTTACGGGTAACATTCAGGTCTCCTCTTGCTCGGCCTCCCGCCAAAATGATCTATAAGTCACCCGAAGTCCTATTTACTCTGGACAGAGTGGAACAATCTACAGGGAAGTCCTCTTTCACATCTATTAAAACTCGTTTCCCTTATTGAAAAAAATTCTCTGCGTCTTGGATTATTATTTGTGAAAACACAAGTCAGGTTGACAAAGGCCACTGGTCGCGACATGTCATAAGACAGCCTGTCCCAGGGACCACACTCCAATTACCTTTGAGGTTTGCTGCATTTTCCCCTTGTCCTTCTCCTGCCTCCTACCCACTCCAGCCATCCAAACAACTTTCCTATAACCTTGATCACCTATAAACTTGTTAATAGTCATAGCAACAAAATGAGCAATTGAATGGAAGGAAAGATGGACTACAATCCAACAACAGCAATGTTTCTGGAATGGTGTAACTGTGAATTCTTGAAAAAACTGTTTCAGGACTCTTAAAGAATCTCAAACATTTTAGCGCCTGAAGGGAGGTCTCCCATGATAAGCCTATAACCTGCATGAATAATGCAGGGCCAGTTTCTCCTCAGGAACTACTTGTAAGCTCAAAACAGTGGTTCTTGAAGTGTGGGCCCTACACCAGGAAGCAGTAGCACCTGGGAACTTGTTAGAAAAGCAAATTTTCAGGCCCCGCCCCAGATCTTCTGACTTACAAATTCTGAAGGCGAGACCCAGCGACATGGCAGGGAGATCTCCAAGTGATTGTGCCATTTAACACTTAACACTTGAGAACCTCTGGGTGACATTATACTATTATCCAGAGTCCAATTGTGCCATTAACAGATGGAAGGCATGTAGGTTCATATGAACCTTCAACATTAAGGCAGGGCATCTAGCATCTGCATCTATATCATCCATGAATTTATTTACCTAAACTGCCATTTTTGGGTTAGCAAGTCCCAGAAATTCATTTTCTTGTGCCTAAGGCAGTATCCTTTGTTTGCTCTCAAAACTACCTGTTTTGCACTACAAAAGGAGTTCCTGGTATATTGTTCTGCAATTCAAAGAACAAATCTTTTTTATTGCTCTTACATTAATCATAGTTATATATGTATATCGTCTCTCAATCTTTGGCTTTCCAAACTAGATTAGTAGTCTGTCCACATTATCCTCCTAAGAAAATGTAAAGCTGAAAAGAAAAAAAGAAATCCCCAGAAGGAATTTAAGTTCTTGTTTCTGGGAAAAGACACAGTAGAGCACATTCCGAATGCCCCCGTTACAGGAGGAATGACTAAAGGAAATGGACAGTTGCCTGATTTAAAAACTACAGACACAGGATGCCCAGGTACATTTGAATTTTAGATAAACAACAAATATTGCATGGAATGTACTTATAACTCCAAAGCTATTCATTGTTTATCTAAAATTCAAATGTAACCACGCATCCTGTATTTTATCTGGCAACTCTAGGATTGGGAATACTGACCTTTTGGGAAGGTCTTGAACAGACAACTGTCCTCAAATATGGAAAAGGACTGTTATGAGGAAAATGGGCCAATATCAATATAGACCCAGAATTAGAACCCAAAGGGAAAAATTATAGGAAGAGTATATCTGGCTCAGTAGAAGAAAGGCATTTGGCCCTAGCTGGTAATAGCTCAGTAAATTGAGCATGGGCCTGCAAACCAAAGGGTCACTGGTTCAATTCCCAGTCAGAGCACATGCCTGGGTTGCAGGCCAGCTCCCCAGTAAGGGGCGTGTGACCAACAACCACACACTGATGTTTCTCTCCCTCTCTCTCTCCTTCTCTTGCCCTCTCTCTAAAAATAAATAAATAAAATATTTTTTTTTAAAAGAAAGGTATTTGTATACAGGCAGCGTCAAGCAGACATGTGCTGCGGGTACTGTCAGGAAGACAAGGTTTGGGAGGTTTGGCTGAGTGGTTACACTAAAAAATTAGGCCTCTCTGACTCGGAAGGTCTGTTGTGAACCCTTACATTGCTTAAGTTGCCGTTCTCTGGAATCTGTCTGCAAAGTGCTCTGATAGATATGGATGAGCCCTGGCTCTATACATGGGTGAGAACCACAAAGCAGGACAGAACCAGATTTCATAAAGGCGACATCCCACACCCAGAGTTCTGACTCTAACTGTGCTCATCTTACTGGTGGAACCCAATGAAACGCATCTGTGCGCATTTTCCTTCTTATGTATTGAAAAGAGCCATTAAGATTATATGAGGATTGTATCAAAAGCATTTCCATTATTTAAAAACCCTTAGCTGCTTTCAGACGTAAAATGGATAAATAAATGAACTCACTCTTTGTCCTGCTGTCCATTTCTGTTTTTGACGAGTCTGCAGTTGCTATAGCTGGAGGTAACTTCTTTCCAATAGTCTGAGAAAGAAAAAGATGATTCTATTTATCAAGATGATTCTCTCCATTAAGCAAAGGAATAAAGTCAAGATCATAAGGACAACATGCTCACAACTGGTTCTGAAAAACACCCATTTAAGGTTTGCACTGTTCTATATATTGCCTGCTGTTCAATTGTTCTGAACCTCAGGGACAAACAAGCAGGAAAAACAGATACAAAGGGCTTATCCTTGTAGATATTTGATACTGTTTGTTCCCATTCTTCCTTGATGTTCTTCCAAGGTTGATTGTTTCTAGCAGAGCAAAATAACTACATACCCCTCATTTTATGAGAAGCTGACTAAATCTATGGAGGAACAGCACCTCACCCAGAGGAAGTGCTCACAAGTATCTACGGAGCAGAAGAAGAAGAATGGTAGAAAGAGGGAATGAATGAAGAGAGAAAGAAAAATGGGATTAAGGGATGGAGGGCCAGAAGGACAGACAGACAGATGGGTAGGTGGAAGGACATGCAGAAGCCAGAGTGTCCAGGGCAACTGTGCCTTACTGCACGTCCCGTTCTACACCCCCCCCCAAATGGCTATGGACACCAGGGCACCAGCAGTCAAAACCAAGGCACTGGGCGAAACAACCTCCCCAACAATGAAGGGTTTCCCCGATGAGAATTCTGGCCACTGGGAAAACCAAACATATCTGCCCACTGGACACATGGAGAGCAATGAACTGCATCATTCAAAAACTGGCACAGTGGAATGTTTCCTCAAATAAAACTGATTCACCACAGTTTTTAATTTGAAAAATGTCTTCATGCTTCAAATGCTGAAACTAACATTAAATGTGAATAAATCACAGAAAGAGGATAAGGTAAATGAAATCCTCAGCCCCTCATGAATTTTTAAAAACATTTGTGACAGAAAGCCTTTACATTTTACTTGGTGACATTTTTATTTAGTGCTGCAGGGCTTTCTATATTAGATAAAAAAATGAAACTCAAAATATTATGCCGCCCCTCAACTGATGTCGAGTACTCAAACTAATAACATTGTGTGATTTCAAGGAAATATCAAGGAAGAAAAGAACTTGATATTATTCAGCCATAAGGTCAAATTTGATGAAAGACTGTTCTTAGAATTATCTTGAAAACTCAGGAATTGATAGTAAAAACAGATGCTCTCACAGTGTCATTCATATTCCATTCACACTTCAAACAGCATCCTCATCAATCTCTTTGTTTTTTCCCCTTTGGGGACCAAGATAAAGCACCACAATTGTTAAAACATTAGTGAGAAAAAAAGAAAAACAATTAATACTTCAGTTATTACTGACAGGGGAGAGAGGAAATCAGGAAAACACAATAGCGAACACTATATCCAAACCTAACTTTCCAGCAAAAGCAAAAGAGAGACAGCCAAAGGTTTGGGCTTTAAACCAAATGCCCTCCTTTAGAGAAGCCTTCGCAGGTTGTGCATTCCTGTAACTTCCCCTAATTTGTAACAAAATGAAGTGCTGCCAGTCATCTCTAATGTCCTGGTTTAACAGTGTGTCCAAGCTGGCAGACATCAAATCAAGAAAGGCCACCAGTTAAATTCACTTACTTCTGTACAGAAAGGCAGGGGAAAACAAAACGTGCTCTGCTCCTTTTTCTCACTATTTCAGAAGATACAGCACACTGGCCTCTGTGTGGATCCCAGCAACAGGAGTGATGCGGAAGCTGATACTGCATTTATTGTCTTCCAAGGGTGCTGGACCTTAATTCCATCCTTCCTCACGGGCCATGGCTGACTAGAGTAAGGCAGACCCTTCCCTTCTCAGCCTGGTCTTCCAGGCATCCGAGAGATGTAAACTGTTCAGATATTTGTCTCTTCTCTAGGACCCAGACCCAGAGAAGTGTGGTTCCCAAACCAGCAACACCAGCATCTCCTGGGAACTTGTTAGTAAAGCAAATTCCCAGGCCCCGCCCCAAGCTTTCTCAATCAGAAACTCTGGGGATGGTACCCTGCAGTCTCTATCTGAACACACCCTCCAGGGTTTCAGATGCACATGCAAGTTTGAGATGTAGGAGGGATTCCAGTAGTGCTCACAATATACCTTGTCTTGGATTAACAACTCTGGTGTCTATTCACAGACCTAGATAAGTTCTAAAACATCTTTTTGATACTTCTTTCTCTCTCTCTTTCTACCTTCTTTATTTGTAACTGGCATAAGAACTTGTCATTTCTACTAACTGAGTCAGTTCAGGAAAAAATGGAGTTTAGCAAAATAGGCAATATGACAATATCACTGAGGAAAAAAAAGAAAAGAAGTGGGAAGTATAGGTGGCCATGAGACCCTTCACCAAAGGTATTGAAAGGATGAATGGATGGGTGGATGGACAGACAGAAAGATGATTTTGAATCTAAAATGTAAGAGCACACATCTGGCCTGTCTGGCTGAGACTACCTCAAAGACCAAGCAGGCAGATCCCTGTGACTGTACTCACCTTCAGGGAAAGCCACACCCTGCTGTCCCTTCAGGGTGTTTTCCTTTATTGGCCTTCATTGTAGAAGACTGTCGCACACTAAAGGACATTGAGCAACCACTGCTCCTGTCCACTAACAGTCTGTAGTGCTCTTATGTCATTGTGTCCACCCCAACGCCCCACACATTTCCAAACACCCCATTCAAAAACCTCTCTCCTCTGCTCTTCTGCTAAATACAAGAACAAGGATGGGGGTGGTGAAGTGCTGCTTTCCCAGCAGCCTTTTAGCTGCCACTACCTCTGAAAACATCTTTGGTCAATTGAAATGAAAAGGACCGGACCCCAACTTTTAAAGGGCATGCATGATGAAAGCCATGCCTAGCTCCAGTACACACAGACGTCACGTTATCATGGAAGGTCAGCTAAGATGCAGACCAAAGTGAACAGAAAAAATGGAGAATCACATCCACACATCCCTCATCCCTCTTGCAGTCGGTGAAGGAGAATGTGAAGCTTGTAGTGGCCGTGGAAGATTTACATGTGACCTCCTCGGGAGAGTTCCAAGTTCTTGCCTTCCTGGGTGCTCTAAGGAAGATGGCTCATCCAGGACAAGCACTGGCCCTGTCATTAAGGGCTGTGTTGACACTGCTCTTTCACAGCTCTTTCACCTCCTAAGACATCTGCCAACAGCTCCATTGTGCCGTATGCCGACTGAAGGAACAGACTCAGGCTGCGCTCCATAGCTCAGCCCAATGTTTCCTCTTCTCTTCTGTGCTGTGGCTGAAGACCTCCTAGTACCCACATCCCCGTTACTCTGGTCTGCCTGTCCCGCAACTCAGAAGCCACTGTTTGGTCTGGGAGTGGAAGTACACAGACATGGCTGTAGGCAGCTGAAAGCTCTACAAATAGGCCATTGCTATCAATCTACTTCAGCACACAGTGATCAGCAGGCTGCTGTCAACTTGTGTCTCTCTGAACATATCCTAATCGCCATTTAAAATCTGATTTTAGAAAATAAATAATTCAAAAAATTAATCCCTTTGAATATTTAATATCATTAGTCACTCTCATGTTAGCTCACTGGACAAAAGTACTCCATAACATTTGGGGGGTTTGTGTATAGTAGCAGCATCATAGACACTCCTAGCTCTACAAGATCTGATAATACAGCACCAGAATAGATAACCCCCATGTGGTTTCAGTTAGCCATGTGATTTCAGTTAGTGGAGTAATTTTTTTTTCTTTCTTGTGCCAAAATGAAGAAGCTAATGCTCGTAGCAAATACGACCAATGGATTCGTGTCCACTGAAATCCAGTTCCCTAACATGTCTGTTTCTCTTTGTGACTGCTGCAGCTTGAGACCAGGAGCCTGCTCATATCCAGTGTACAACCACTCCTCTGACTTTATTCTAATTCAGATGCAAACTCCTTTGAATGTAAAAAGTTTTTAAATTATAGGACAATGTTAAGGAGGAGGAAGTTTAAGTCCTATCTCTGAAAAGTCTCCACCCCAAGAATACTACATGCAACTCTCGAATCCCAAAGGCTACTGGGTTTGATGTGTAGGGAGGAGGGAGAGAGCTCCCTGCACTGGTGGGTCCCCCTGCTGGCAGTCCAGGCTTTCAGATGGCTATTCCAGAAGAATGTGATCTTCTGAGAAACTATACGTAGACATTACTCAAGTGCTCACACAAAGCCACACACAAGAGATGACTTTTCAAACTGCTGGGAAAATACGAGATGAAGGATGGCTTTTTGAAGGAGTTCCTTTTACCAGACTAGGACCTGACCGAACTCCTTCCCTTTCCATTCAGTTCAGATTTATTGAGTGCCTGTTCCATGTGAAGCAGGGAAGCAGACAAAAAGGCAAGAGGATGCTGAACATCACTGCAAACACTAACACAGCAATCCATCAGCTTCTCTAGAATGGTGTGTTGAGGGCTGCTCAACCATTTCACATGGTTATCCCAAATCCTGGTCATATACAGGATACAGAGGGATACAGGCTATAGGAGACAGTGATGGGAAAAGGGACAAAACAGTGTTTATATATGACCACATCCTCAACTGTTCAGCTTTCATTACCTAACCGTATTTTAGAAAGATACACAAACTGCTATTAAAACTCACTGTAAACTTCTAATATTTATGTTTACATGCTCCTTTCATGAACACCTTTGATGGATGGAATTATGAGAAATTTCTCGGTGCTCAGAAGGGAGCCATAGGAGCAGATCAGAAGCTTCACAAGCCAGCTCCTGTAAGAGCCAGTGAGAACAAGCACAAAGGAGCACCCTTACAATAGAGCGCCTGTGAGCTCTAATGGAAGACTGTTCTGCTCCCTGGGAAATTTACACAGCAGCTATCAACTCACTTGCCTTTGGCTGGCCCAGCTTAAACTATCTGATAACAATACAAGATGCACCAGAATAAAATACCACTCAAAATTCTAAAAATTAAATCCATGTTCCAGTAAAAGAAAAAATATATTTATAGTTCCAGTCTAGGGACAGAGGTTACCTTTGAGATACCTTATATACCACTATGTCAAGTCTGACATCTC